CAGCAACGAAGACCCAGAACAGCCAAAAACAAATAAATAAATAAACATTTCAAAAGGAAAGAACTAAATTCATTTCAATAGTATACTTTATTTAATTCAATGGACATGGCAACCCACTCAGGTATCCTTGCCTGGAGAATCCCATGGACATAGGAGCCTGGGGGCTACAGTCCCTAGGGTCTCAAAGAGTCAGACACGACTGAAGCAACTTAACACACACACACACACACACACATCCAAAACATTATTTCACCATAGTCAATAGAAAATTATTAAGATTTTTATATTTTTTTGTATTAAATCTTTTGAGGTCCAGTGTTGTATTTTGCATTTATAGCTCATTTCAGTTTGCACACGGAAATTTCTCACAAATGCTTGATTTCAGCTGTATTTAGTTTTCATTAAATCTGCAGTTGAAAAAGTGATTCACATACCAAAAACCTAAATGTTTTTCCCAAGAGCCATCAAGTTTTAATTTAGATGTAAAGGAATTAATAAATAAATATTTAATTAATTAATATTAAAAACTAATCTCTTGGTCACAATAGCCACATTTTAAGTACTCAAAAGCTCCATGTGGATAACTACTATTGTTTTGAAAATTTATATGTTATGCGTATATGCTCAGCCATATCCAGCTCTTTTGTGACCCCATGTACTGTAGTCTGCTAGGCTCCTCTGTCCATGGGATTCTCCAGGCAAGAATACTGGACTGGGTTGCCATGGCATTCTCCAGGGGATCTTCCCAACCCAGAGATCCAACAGGAGTCTCCTGGGTCTCCTGCATTGGCAAGTGGATTCTTTTACCACTGCACCACCTGGGAAGCTCTTGGACAGTTAAAATCCTGAGAGATCAAAAAGTTAGTTGAAAAAGGAAAAAAATCATTGTAGTTACTCCATGGCTTGATTTTGAATAACATATTCCAAATATTCATTTAATCAAAATTATAACATGAATTACATTGGGTAGGTGGGCATGGGAAATGTTCATTGTGTCAAAGGAGGAAGAGGAAAGAAAGCTAAATCCTAAATGCCTGAAACTGAAGAATGAAAAAGCAACAACGTAATCCTATTAAATAGGAGCATAGAAATAGATACAGAAGGACTCCATCAACCTAGCTCGATGTGATGGCCCCTGAATAAGGAGAAATGGAGGGGCAAGGGGCGTGGGGTTTTTTTTTGATTTGTGTTTTTTCTAGCAAACTTTATGGTATTGGTTGACTCTTTAACCTCATGCATGTATGGTTTTGATGTTTAAAAAGATCTTGAAAAATGATCTTGGGAAGGTGTGCAGACTGGAAATTTTCTATGTAATATTCTTGCATAGGATTGCCACTTTCAGTTGTGCCCCTTTCTCATTGTTTTACGGACGGAGAAAGGGGGACACAGGAGTTGGGGGGCGGGGCACAGCCCCTAATTTAGGAGGAAAATAAAGTGAAAGGGAGCAGAGAGGTGGCAGATGCATCCTTCTGGCCAGATCCCAAATCTCACTCTCCAGTGCCCTCCCCCGCCCAGCACAGGCTCCTAAGAAGTTACACAGACGGGCACAGCCCCCGGAGGACGGGGCTGGGGAACTGGGAGGGGGGCAGGACAGTTCTCAGGGGATGAACAGGAGGCCTGCATTACACCCCACTCTCTCCACATCTCAAACCAGCCCATCTGTGAAACCTGGTAGCTCCATGGGCAAGACGACCTCCCCTCCTCCAAGCCAAGCCCACCATCCTTCAAGGCTCAGGACAAAGCTTCTTTCCACAGTAATTTTTCCTGATTTCTACTGTCCTCACCAATGATATTTTCCTGTTTTGTTTTGTTCTTTTTTCCAGTCTCACACAGCACATGTGGGATATCTCTCCCCACCTGGGCCTGAATTATAAACTATTCTATATTGCACACTGCTGTTTCCAAGTTGTGTGGTGAGATCAAGATCAACACCACGTGCTTCAGCAGGCCCCACAATACCCAACATATAGCATGGGTTTAAAGAGTGCCTGATGATTGATGGTTGATGATGTATATGCTTGCATAAATGTCTACAGTACTGCTTATGACAGAAACTATGGTATTAGTCAGGTAGGTGGATGGATAGTGATAAATTTGTATACATAGGAATCAGGTGCAGAGCTGAGTTCATTGTTTCCTCATTTCATGCTGTTGATTTTTTTTTTTTTTGCATGTGTGCTCAGTCATGTCCAACTCTTTATGACCTCATGGTCTAAAAGCCCACCAGACTCCTCTGTCCATGGAATTTTCCAGGTAAGAATACTGGAGCAGGTTGCCATTTTTTTCTCCAGGGGATCTTCCCAACCCAGGTATCAAATCCATGTCTCCTGCATTAGCATGTGGATTCTTTATCATGGCTCCAACTGGGAATGTTATTATAATTGGTCAGTATAAACTCCTCTCCCTTTAATTTTATTTGAATTCTTCCCCTGTATCATTAATCCTCATGACTTGTTTTCTTCTTCTCCCCCCACCTAATAGACCCCCCCATCTAAAGTGTTAATTTGCCCTTAGAAACATACATATCTTAAAGATAGAGTGTTGTTAGTATATGTATGCTTTTCCTAACTTTATTAATGATAATCATGCACAGTGATGTGACTGTAACTTGGTGCTATTGAACTGTACAGTTAAATAAGGTTAAAATAGTATATTTTATATTATGCGTTCTTTACCACAATAAAAAACATTTTAAAAATGATATCATGCTATAGATTTTGTTCTACATCTTCGTTTTTCATTCAATATTCTTTCTAAAGCACTATGTTTATCCATTGCTTCATTATAGCATGGTCTTTACATCCAGAAACTTCTACCACATCTCATCTATCCATTCCCCAAATGATGGATACCTATGTTGCCTCCAACCCTTGGAATCCAAAGGGATGCTGTAAGGAGCATCCTTAGACATGCATATTAGATATGTGTTGGGACTGCCATGTCATAGCATGTAAAACATGTAATACACAATTTCTGAATTGCTCTTCAGAATGGCTACAGCCATCTCACTTCCACCAGCTGCAGATGAGAACCTACTGCTGTGTGACACAGGAAGAGCAGTCAGACACACTGGGACAGCCGAGCACCTAGGGAGGTAATTCTCACGTGACTCTTAGCATCTCCACAAGACGTAGAGGACAGGAAGACAGCGGCTGCTCTGGTGGGTCATTTCCTTGGATCACAACCCTTTAATATAGGGCCAAGGATGAGCCCTGGGGACCTGTGCTTCCGTGGCCAGCTCACTTGTGCTTGCTAGGGTTTAGCTTATTTCAAACCCTGCTTTTGATGTGTCAGCTACAAATGGGCACTTGGCATGGGCACTTGCCATCCACCTCTACAAGGATTAAATCATGTGCTGCTGCAGCTGCTGACCTTCAATAACCCCTGAAAGGAGTTCATATGGAGAGCAGAAATGAGACACTCTGTGCTCAGGGAGAAAAACTGGCAGGACAGGTCTTCAGATAGTTCAGTATTTTCACAAGTCAATTTTACGAGCCCAATTCTTGTATCTCCCCATACCTAGAAAAAGCACTAAAATCTTTCATAGTGATGACTGTTTCTCGTGACTAGCAAAACTTCATGGGACTAGTAGAAATCTTCTGGAAAAATATGTGTCTGCTTGCATGTATTTCCTCTTCACCAAAATCACATATATGCTGACCTTCCCCCGGCACCTTTGGAACAGTTTCTCAGAGCTATCTGAGGTGTGTCTCCCAGACTACAGTCCTCATTTTGCCCCAAATCAAACTTAACTTGCAATTCTCACATTGTACTTTTTTTTTTAATCAACAGATTCATATCTCAAAAGGTTCTCTAGCCAGGGAAAGGAAAGCAAGAGGGAAAAAGAAACAAGAAGAAATTCACGAACAATATCTGAATCCATGGTTTCTTAAAGGGTAAACCCACCCACACAATAAAGACGGCTCCAAGGTCGAGGACTCCTCCTAGCCTGAGAATTGATGACCCCTGTGCTAGATGTGGCTGAGCAAGTCTGTCTCTGTCTTTTCCTGCCCGTACCCTCATGTTTCATCACCAGGGTCTCCAGGGTCCTAGCAGCATGGAGTTCTTTGCTTTATGGCCCCTCGGAGTCCTCCTTGGCATCATCCACCCTCCACAAGTGTGCCCTGTGCCCTCCGTGTGCCCACATTTGAGCTCAAGGATCAGACATGCCTGGCATCACTTCCCTACTTGGCCTCAGTGGTGGCACCTGGAGGGCTGGGTGGCAGGACTGCAGATCAGATGTGGAGGCAGAGAGAGCTCAAGCCCCCAAGAAAGGGCAGACAGCCATCTCCCACCTGGACCCCCCGCACCTCCGCATGCGCCCCTCCACTTCCTTCCTCTGATCCCCACCATCTGGGATGAACCTAGGAACAGACAAAGCTCCTGTTGGTCACATCTGGTTTAAGAGAAAGAAACAAGGAGGCTGGCGACCTCCACTAACAGGCAGCACTTGGCACGCACAATAGAAGCAGCTGCTGTTTACAGCCCTGTCTTAGGGTGGCCTCAAGCTGGACCTCACACTTCCCGTGCCCGGCTCTCCCCTGGGGGGGCATGGTTTTACACGGGGCATCTGGAACCTCACAGTCTTGCAGCTTAAAAAAAAAAAAAATCCACCAACCTCATGAAGCTCTGAAACTAGACCAAACTCTCTTCCTGGGAAAACTTTCCAAACCAGCTCCTGACTGACCTCTTACTGTAAGCCGGTTCCTACAGCTCCCATCTCCCCACTTTCTCTCTCCACCAAATGGGAATAAATCACCCAGTCAGCTGCCCAGAAAAAGGCCACCCCAGGAAGCCTCATTCTAAGTAACAGCCAACAGAGGTTTGAAAACACTTCCAATTTCTTAACTAGGAAAAATACCAGCAAGAATTCAGGATGTCAGTTCGAGACCGGTATCACACTGCCTCGGAGGCAAGTGGCTAGGACCTCCCCAGGCCCGTCCTATTTGGTGTTGCTATCTGTGTCTCTTCTGACCCCCGGGCCTCTCTGGTCCCCATAGAAACGAGCCTGGAGCAGGCGCCTGTGGGGAGCTGGCGCTGTGCACCATCTGACTTTACCAGCGCCCTCCCAATACCCGCTCCTGATTTCAGCCGCCTGAGCCGGCTCCGCTGGGCAAGGTGGTGCCTAATTACCTCCCTTCTGTCTTCCCCTCCTCTCCTCTGTGATCCTCTCCCCTCCCCGCTGCCTCGGAGGACAGCCTTTCCAAGAAATAGCACAGCGCACACCTGGTGCGGTGAGATAGGGGAGCTGCCACGGAGACCGGGCTCCCGTGCCCACCCCGCTGGCGGCTCCTGGGAATAAGTAACTATCTCTAGAATGCTGCAAACTCCAGATGTGCAGCCTGAGTGCCTGGAGACCTGGGCTCCTCGTCTCATTATGCCTGGTTTTTTCCACAAGTTTCATATATGCATATCCAGCCTTCAGAAGCGGGGGATGGGAAATGGTAATCTTCCTTTTAATATGCTACCACATGCCAGCCGCGGACAGCTGTGCACACATCGCACGTTGGACTGGACATGAAATATAGCCCGGGACCATTTTTTAAGCAGTCATTCCCAGGGCTTACAAAACACATTTACTTGGAGGGAGGTCACACAGTCTTCCTTCTGCATAAAAAGGTGGCTTTGAAATAGGTACGACCATCTGGAAGCAGCCTCCTCGGCCATTGATATGGAAAATGTACACAGGACACCATCATTTCCTGGACTGGGCCACAGAGGCACGCACACACACACACACACACACATGGCCGTAATTGTTTAAACAGACAGCTTCAGGTCTTCCGTGATGCTTACCTTGCTCTGCAAAACCATTTGCCAGCAGCCTGGGTGACTCTGGGCAAGCTGGAAGGGGGCAGGATTGCAGTTTGAGGGAGGGAGCATTCATCTGTGTGCAGGAGGAGAGTTCTGGAATCCAGATTTGGGGGAAATTATTTGCACACTCTCCAGCTCATCCCCAGGCTTGCTAATAAGGAAGGATATGTCAGGTGCGTGACTGCAAGTAAATAGCAAAACACCGCACCGAAACAATGACCTCTGCTCTCCTGATCATTACAGCCAAGTGTTTGCTACCCTCCCTGGAAGACTTAGATCTCACCTTTAACAACCGGTTTTGTCCAGGCATTTAAAGGAAAAGCACAATGGCTTCCGTATGGCTAACTGATCTCCCTGTAATTGGGGTGGGGGTGGGGGAGTCTCTGTAAGTTTATTAACATTTATTCTTCAAATGAGCAAACTGCCCCACTTGACAAGACTTTTATTGTGCAGACCTCATCCAGACAAATTCTTGACCTCTGAGGCTATTTAACTTTTGTGTTGTTTCTTTCATTTATATTTTCTAATCTTGTTTTTCTGTTTTGTCTTTTTTTTAATGTACACGTTACAGATAATATAAGTCAGCTGCCTTAAAATTTAGAGTGCCATTCCAAAGCTGGACACTCTCCCAAAAGAAAGCTCAGAAAGAATACAGTACAGAGCTCTGGGTAGTCCAAAGGGTTAAGCTGTTAAGTGCACAAATAGCAGAGCTCCTGTTACCGAGAGGAGAGGGAGCTGACTGGAAGAAGGGGACCACTCTAGGTCAGCCTGTCCTTTACATCGTGAAGAGCTTGAAAGGGGCTAATAAACCCAGCAGCCTATGGCAAAGGTAATTTATTTTATATTCCTACTCATCACATGCAATATTTTTTTGGAGGGGGAGAGCAAATATAATTCAAAGAAAGTGATAAACAATAAAAAAAAAAACCCACAATATTGAGTGATGCTTCCAACCCCCCCCCCCACCTCCCACATCAAGTCACGAGAACACATGTCCTTCTCTGCTTTTGTGGTGTATTTCTCATCCTGTTTGTGCGTCAACATCTTCAAAGTGCTTCAGGGCTGGGGCAGGGGGAGGGGGGATGGTGGTGGCTCTGCCTGGCCGGAGGTCACTGGTCCTTCCTTGGGGCTGGGGGAGGGGGTGTTGAGGGGTGGGGTGGGCACACAAATCCCCTGAGATGAGATGAGCAGCTCCCCAAGGTGGGTGCAGGCATTTCTGCACAGGCACCCCCCAGCCCCACCCCCTGGAAGTCATGTCCACTTGACTTATGAATCGGCCCCCGGCTGGGTGTAATTACTGAGAGGACAGCTTTCCAGCTGGTTTCCTGCGCTTCGCCCGGGCTCCGGGCTCTGGGAGAGGCAGGGCTGTCCTGCTCCTGTCTCCCACTTGCCACATTTTCCGTGCATGAGGTCACTGGACTGCAGATGAGGTAACTGTGCAGCCGGCCCGCGAGCCGGGAGAGGCTACCACGTGACCATCCATGTAAACACAGCGAGGTCCCCGCAGGCCGGTGACAGCTGGGCTCCGCTGCGGCTGCCCCTGCCCAGGGTAGGGAGACTCCCGGAGCCTGTCCGAGCTCTTAAAGGGGCCAGATCACCGCCTGAGCGCGTGTCACACACTGGTGTGTGGGACACTGGTCTACCAGGCTCTGGGAAGAGCAACAGCGTCGAGGGAGGAGCACTGGGTGACCCTGTGACAGGTGTGCGGGTGGTGGGGGAGCTGAACGAACGTGCGTGTGTGCTGAGTCTCTTCAGTCGTGTCCGACTCTCTGTGACCCCATGGACTGTAGCCCACCAGGCTCCTCTGTCCATGGGATTCTCCAGGCAAGATTACTGGAGCAGGTTGGCATGCCCTCCTCCAGGGGATCTTCCTGACCCAGGGATAGAACCCACATCTCTTATGTCTCCTGCAGAACAGCACTGCCTCTTAAAAGAGTACCCCACCCCCACAGGCAGAGACACAGGGGTCTCAGAGTGCACGGTCTCTGCAACAAGCCTGCTCTAAACCTCTCTGCCATCAGCCAGGAGAGGTGGCCCAGGATTTGGGGGCATCTCCTAATCATCTCTAATTTAGAAACATGGCTAAAAACAAGTATTTTTTAAAAAGTCAACAAAGAAATACATTTTAAAGCTCTCCTAAACTCTGGAAGGGCAGGATACATTTCCAGCTGTGCCCAGGGCCTCAGGAGTCTCAAGGTCAGAAAGTTCTTTCCAAAGTCAAGTCACATTAACTATCCCGGTCCCTCCCTTATTCATTTTTTTTTTTTTTTAACAGAGCCTGACTATGTATGGAGCTCTCCACTGAACCAGGGGTTGTTGTGGGACCAAATTTGGGCTCCACACTGGGAAAGCTCTGGCAGACCATTCCTGGGATCACGCGCGCAGTCTCCATGAATGATGATAATAAAAGGCATGCCCGGAGCAAGTCCTCTGACGGCACTGCAGGAGGTGGAGAAGAGCAGGTCCAGAGATGCTCTCTAGGCAGGTAGACACACAGGTCTAAAGCTCAGGACCAAGATCTGCTGTGAAGATAGTGAGTGAGGAGCTGTTGACATGCACAGTTGAAAGTGGGGGACTACCAAGCTTGGCCAAGATGCTACTGACACCCATTTCTTTACCTTGGGTCTTTTGGGTACTCATAGAAAGGCCCTTCCTCCCCCACTAGAATAGAAGCTACATGAGGGCAAGGACAATTTTTTGGTCTTGTTCTCCAGTTTTCTACAGCACATGGCATCTGAAATATAGGCAATGTTCCATAAATATTGTGAAATAAAAGAACCAAAGGATGTTGTGCTGTTCAATCACCAAGTCGTGTTCAACTCTTCATGACTCCGTGGACTGCAGCATGCCAGGCTTCCCTGTTCCTCACCATCTCCCAGACTTTGCCCAAGTTCATGTCTAACCAAAGGATAATCATTGGTAAAATAAAAGTTATAAAAGTAGCACAGGCAGGAAGTTTTTAAAGTTTTAAAGCAAGGCAAAGAACTTAACATTTAAATTCTGCCTCCATCCTCACCCCTCCAATGTGCTTTGTAAGATGAGGAAACGAGTGTGAGTGCATCCTCCAGGCTTGTTCAGCTGCCATGAACCCTCCTACAGTGTCGAGGTTTCCGTTTATCTTCTGTCCTTAACTATGGTTGAGCCCTTCTTGCTTCGTTGTTTCAGGTTGACTCTAAACTTCATGTTTCCATGTTCTAGCTATTGTAAATAGGGCTGCAATGAACATTAGGGTACATGTAATCTTTTTGAATTATGGTTTTTCTCAGGGTATAAGCCCAGGAATGGGATTGCTGGGTCATAAGGTAGTTCTGTTTTTTGTTGTTGTTGTTTTTAAGGAACCTCCATACTGTTTCCTATAGCTGTTGTTGTTCAGTTGTTATATCTGACTCTTTGCAACCCCACTGACTGCAGCATGCCAGGCTCCCCTCTCCTGGAGTTTGCTCAAATCCATGTTCATTGAGTCGGTAATGCTATCTATTAATTACTGTCTCATCCTCTGCTGCCCCCTTCTCCTTTTGCTTTCAGCCTTTCCTACTATCAGGGTCTTTTCCAATGAGTCAATCCTTCGCATCTGGTGGCCAAAGTATTGGAGTTTCAGCTTCAGCATCAGTCCTTCCAATGAATATTCAGGACTGATTTCTTTTAGGATTGACTGGTTTGATCTTCTTGTAGCCCAAGGGACTCTCAAGAGTCTTCTCCATACAACCACTGGAAAAACCATAGCTTTGATTATACAGATCTTTGCTGGCAAAGTGGTATCTCTGCTTTTTAATAGGCTGTCTAGGGTTGTCATAGCTCTCCTTTCAGGGAGCAAATGTCGTTTAATTTCATGACTGCAGTCACCATCCACAGTGATTTTGGAGCCCAAGAAAATAAAATCTGTCACTGTTTCTACTTTTTTCCTTCTATTTGCCATTAAGTGATGGGACCAGCTGCCATGACCTTAGTCTTTTGGATACTGAGTTTTAAACCAGCTATTTCACTCTCCTCTTTGACCCTCATCAAGAGGCTCTTTGGTTTCTCTTCACTTCCTTCCATTAGAGCGGTATCACCTGCATATCTGAGGTTGTTGATATTTCTCCTGGCAGTCTTGCTTCCAGTTCACCGTGTTTCATTCAGCACAGCATTTCCATAATGTACTCTGCTTATGAGTTTTCCAGAGCAGCTATATCGATTTGCATTCCCACCAACAGTGCAAGAGGGCTCCCTTTGCTCCACACCCCCTCCAACATTTATTGTTTGTAGATATTTTGATAATAGCCATTCTGAGAGATGTGAAGTGATACCTTATTGTAGTTTTGATT